CAGGCTCCAGCCATTCTATTTCCCGAAGCAGCCCGACCTGCACAAGAAAGTGGTCGTCCACTGCACGGTTCTAGAGGGAGACGAACCTTTCGAGTTCGCCTGGTACAAGGACAACCAACTCGTGGTGGCCGACAAAAACGTGCAGGTCCGCACGCTGTCGGAGAGCCTTACCTCGCTTACCGTCCACGAGGTGGCGGCGGAGAACGTCGGAAACTACACTTGCGAGGCGTCCAACGTCGCGGGTAGTGACCGAACGTCCGCAGAGCTTCTGGTTAAAGGTGGGTGCGACACCTCAGCAAGACGTATATGAAGTCACCGCGTTGCAGGAGCGCGTAATTACAGCAAGCGCGGTCTTTGAGGTGCGCACAACAGATAATGTCTTAAGTCTTCCGATTAAATTTTACGCGGACGCAGCATGACGAGCCGCTCGCTCCCGATGTACCACCGGTTGTTATCATTTTGTATTTTTAATACGATATACGCCTCTACAGTTATATACCAACTTTCACGGTGTTTTTTTTAAACATCATATATATAAAGACGTGACGCAAGGAAAGTGTTATAATAATTACTAAACACTTTTTGTTATGAACGGATAATCTAATCTTCGGCCACTGCAGCAAGTTTGAGTAACAACACAAGAAGTTATATGAAGCGCTGAGTTGTCATTTCATGCGCCGTTTAGAGCCTTTGTATTCTTACTTTACTCATGCTTGTATTAGCGCAATATCTTGAAATAAAGTTATTTTTTGTTTTGTGGGAAAGTGTTTCATGTCTGTGAAATGCAGCGCCCTCACGCCGCCATACGAAGTTCCAAACGTCTGCAGTGACGATGTCGCGCTACCTCATTTGCGGCCCCGCACTCACATTCGTCGCCGGTTCTGCCTCCACTCGCGGTGTGGCGCCACGAGTTCCGAAACTACGAACTACTGTGCTACGAACTTTTTTTTTTTTTTTGAAATCACTCACGACGTCATTTTTGGACTTATACAGCCACTTCACTATTTCCCCAAGAGCGAGCGCGCGCCCTCGCCAGTGTCGCCACCAAGTCTTTCTTCGGAGGTTCGGGCTCACTGAGCACCGAAGCAATGGCTTTCCCCAGCGTACTGCTACTGCTGTTTTGCTTTTCTTTAGTGCAGCATCTCCGCGCCAGTGGTGAGTGATAACATCATATCATTGCATGCGCCTCGTGCGAAGATTAGTAGCGAGCTTTGGAAACGGTGCATCTAAGGTTTTCCCTACGTTTCCTTCGTTGGTTTCGCTCGACAGTAACAAATAACCGAAGGAAGCACTTTTCGTCCCATACGCGGAAGGCACCATGAGAACACACGTGACGAGCTTTCAGTGCATGATACATTGCCGTAGACGCCCGGAAATGGTCACGATTAGAATTACACGGCGACTGACTGAGAATGGAAAATCCACAAGCCCACTATTTCTTTTCAAGGGTGGGGGGGTGGGGGGGGGGGGGTGAGCATGGGGCATTATTGTTGCTATTGCATTTCAACACTTAGTGCACGACACGAGGCCAGGACAGAGTGGCAATCGAAGCGCCTGTCTTCGTCGGTTGCCGCTAGGTCGTTTTGTGTGTGCGTTATAGATGCTGAAAGGTAGAATGGCAACATTCCCAAACTTGAGTGATACCGCTAACTTTCCTTGGGTACCGTCGTTCTTTTTTGTTTCTGTTTTCATGTAAACGTTACAAAATTTTTATCGATTGTTACGAGTCAGCTGCATGCACAGCGTTCGGCACTGTATGCATGTGCAGCTACAAAAGTGAAGTCTCCAAAGAAAGCACTACTGCATTTATAAAAACTTGCAATGTTGGCGAGGTCCGGGAAAGGAGGACGGACAATGTTCGCCAGCTGCAGATTTGCTACGCTTAGTATTCTACCAGCACATAAGCATTACGACAGACTCTGAAGTGTAAGGTATTGAGAACTCGCAACTCAGGCATTTATACGCATTTTTGAAACACCACAAGCACGACTTTCTATACAAGCGGAAAACAAGATTAGATAAGCTAAGGCACGGCGCGCCTCTCGCACGGCGCTGTTTTCTCCACAGACGCGCCTCTGCTCCAGAGGTTTCAGTTCAAGGAAGGTCTCGGCGTCGGCGACCAGACCGCGGTCGTGTGCGCCGTCGTCGGCGGTTCGCCTCCGTTCACGATCCGCTGGTCCAAAGACGGACGGCCGATCGCGGCCGACAACGAAGCGAGGAGCGTCAAGACGCTCGGTGAGGGCGTGTCCACGCTGAGCCTCCGCTCCATCTCGGCCTCCGACGTCGGCAACTACTCCTGCGTCGCCGAGAACGCCGTCGGAAGTGCGGCGGTGTCGGCTGCTCTGCTCATACAAGGTATCGCAGAAATCGGCGAACCGCCAGCCAATGCGTCGTGCAATCCGCTCAAAAATCCTGACGCATGCAATCGAACACTACCTGCCGTGGTGGTCTATATAGTGGGTACAACGGTGCCCTACGGCTTACCCGAAGGTCGCGGGATCGAATCCCGGTCGCACTTACGAAGGCGGCCAAACGCTAGAGCACTTAGGTGCACGTTACAGAACACCAGATTTTCGAAATTTACCGAACCCTCCACAACGGCGTCCCTCATATGTCGTGGCATTGGGACACAAAACGCTACAACTGATTAAAAACAACACTGCGATTAGAACGACACGAGTGGTACGGCTAACAGTCCTTTACATCTCGGATGCTTAGCCAACGTTAATGTAAGCAACCTCACAACGATGCTGCCCCCAAAACGAAGTATGCTGACTTCAGATACCGAGCACTTAGTTATGAACTTCACAATACCGCGAATTGTACATTGAAGCTATCCGCATTGTTTCGCAGTCGGTAGCAATACTGCGAGCGATGGTTGTATGCGAACTGATGAAGATCTCGAAAACAAAGCACAGGTACAGAGTCGTTCACGTGTAATAACATGAACGCTCAGAGGACATCTGCTTTAGGCAAATATGTCTCTTTTCCTTCCCGTTTTGCGTTCGTACACTGTTATGCAGCACGTCTTCCCAAACGAGCCCGATCTTTATCCATGCTGAAAATAGAGCCTTTAGGAATGGGCTTGTTGGTGGTGGTACATTGTGAAACTTGTAGGGCGCAAAAAGACACCGGCAAAGAAACGCATCGTCTCGTCCTCACTTTAATTCTCCGTGTCTTTCTTGTGCACCGAAACTTTCAGCGTGAAACTTCGACTCGTTCAACTGGAATCTCCTGAACGCTACACAACGCCATCATGCGAGCGATTCTTCAAAAGTACCCAGACGTGGCTACTACTACTACTACTACTACTACTACTACTACTACTACTACTACTACTACTACTACTACTACTACTACGAGGGCACGACCCACAAGAAGCTTCGTTTATAAAAAAAAATGGTCGCGTGTCGACGTTGTGTGCACGCGAACGGAACCCAGACCTCCAAAAGTAATCGGGAGCCCTCTACACTGCTCCGTCTACAAAATCAGTTAACGTGCACGCTACGTGTATTCGTGGACCTTTCTTTTTTTTTTTTGACGGCTCTTCAAGGCGTATGTATGACGCAAAATGAATATTATAGATGAGCGTTCAATTGGCAATTCTACGTAAGGTACATGCAGTGAGGGAAGTTCGCATGCTGCAATCTAGCCAACAAATTGCGGTTCACAGGTTCGTCTTTCTTTTTCTCTCTCTCTCTCCCCCTCTCTTTCTCTCTTACAATTCATAGGTTCCCTGTCATCGAAGTTTTGACTCAACGATGTTTGTGCTTGACAATGTGATTTCTGTCGCGACAACACCGTAATAAATAAAATAAAGTTGTGTGCATGAGACATTTATTTGGTTACTAGTGAGTGGCGTGTCAATGTCAATTTGGCACGTCGCGAGGAGTAGACATCTCTTCCTATGCCCTCCCACATCCCCGCCGAAAAATTATAACGAAAAGGTACGTACTTTTATTTTATACAATTAAATTTTTCATTTGCATGAAATCATGTCAGTTCAGAGTATACAATCACCTGATACTGTGTTTCCACACTTTCCTTTCAGATACACGAAACGCAACGAGAAAGTTGACACTAGAAGAAATATGCGGACCAATGGTCGCTACTGCCCAATTGGTGGTCACCAACCACCCTCACGTCCTTTCTTACCTTGCTTTCTTTCTTTTTTTTGCAGCTAAAATGTTCCACATTAAGACGTGGGGCATAGGACGTCTTATAAACATGTCCGAAATTTGGGCAGTTAGAAGGAAAGTACATAAGAGGAAACTATAGCTTAGAACTACTAATCGGAAACACATCTGCCATTTATGTAACGGTCAACCCAGAAATCACTTCAGCATTAAAGAATGCAAAATTATGATAGTGATGATAACCGCAGTACAAAGCATTGCCTTACTGTGAGCTATTCCGTGCAAGAAACTGAGCATTTACCTCAGCTTCCGAGCAGCTATATATAGGGGTGACAAGAAGTGGCTCGCATTAGTGTTCGCAATCGCGACAGTCTAGATGTCGCCGTGGCAGGGTCAAATATGCGTTTTTGGGGAGTCTGATAACACTGACATCTCAGATACTTCTCACTTCCTTTTTTTTTTTTTGGTCTCATCGAAAGCGTAGTTACACAATTTTCCAGGGAGGTTTGTGTACACCAAATCGGCTGCGTACTGACGGAGTCGCACAAAATATGTCGTTCTTGTGACCGAACGTTCACGCGACACGGTGTCCAGCAGCAAACTACACGCCCGTAATAAATTCATTCGGTAACTGGTGACGTCAGGGGGGGCGGGGGTAAACAGCGCGCCCTCTCGCCTGACCACCCCTTGTAAGTGACGCCTCTGCTGTCGTCGGACAGTGCGCTAAACAAACAAGGGATCGACGCGATCACGAGCAAGTCCGAAACTTTTTCCTCTTCTTCGGTCCACCGGACCAAACGATAGCCTCTCCCATCGCCTTCACAATCTCCACGTATTGCTAACGTTATTTCCTTCTTTCCGCAGCTGCTCCTGTCTGGCTGTCGGAACCAAAAGACACGGACGCTGTCCAGGGACGAGACCTTGTGCTGGCCTGCAACGCGGCCGGATTCCCAAAGCCACGCTTCACGTGGAAGATGCAGATCGGTGAGGAAACGAGCAATATCGTAATTTTGAGATGGTGTATGCATAGTACGCTATGCATAAAGAATAATGTTGGAACCTTTAAGCGCGATAAGCGTACGAAGACTGGAATAAGTCTATGTTACGTGCGCGCAGACAATAACAGTCATAACATGCTCTAGCCGGGGGTGGGGTAAAACATTTCTGGCTGTGCCGGTGCAGTGAAGCTTTGTTCTTTTAGAAATCACAGGTAAATGCAGACAGGTGTGCTTCAGACGACCTCCTATAGCCTTGAACAGACAGTCTGTTGAAACAGGATATTAATCTCCACTTCTGTGACTAACCCGTTAAGTACTGAACAGAAACGATAGATAACAGTTTTATATTGTGCACTGATACCCGCTTGAAAAGGCCTTTTCTTTGTTTTTTTTTTGCTTTTTTGCAAATTCATACAGGCGTGATAAGTGTATCTGAGCTCGCTCACTCACGTGTGTCATGGGCGCGCAAGCACATAAGAAAAAATCCACAAACCCCCACAAGGTGAATAATGACAAGTGGGCGAAGATATGTCCTAAGGTCCATAATTTGTACGTTGAACTGGCCGACTAGTATAAAGGGTTTACGCCTGTAGATGCTTTGTATTGCTCCGTCACAATTATGATTGATATTACTCTATTGTCAAACATGTTTTTTAAATGCGAATTCACTTCTTAGTCGGGCTATGTCAGGCATCCGGCGTTGTCTGCGCCCCGGGCAGGTATTATCTCTCCACTTTTCCATAGCAACAGCTGAGAGGGCGCGCGTTTATCCTCCCCCTAGCAACCGGAGCATGTGGTGCGAGAGAGTGTAAGAGAGGGTAGGTGCAGTTCTTCACCGCTCCTTTTCTCGCCACTCGCTCTCTCTCCTCCCTTCGCCCCACTCTCCTGTCCGCTCGCGCATCACTCTCGACCGTTCGCTGGCTGGGCGCCTGTCAAGGACATCCGGAAATGTGTGCTCGAAACGCCGCTGTGAAACGCCGACGCTGAGCCGAGAACGCTGGCGCCCCTCCCGTCTGCTGCTTCCTCACTCTCGAAAGTTCGCTGGCTCGGCAGAGGTCGATGAAGGCGAATGTCTGATGGCAACGGTACCCTCCCTCGGCGCAAAAAAAAATGCATTCGCATTTCCTCACGATTCCCTGCGGAGGGGGGGTGGGGCATTTTTTCAGTCTCACATCTACGAATCTCCGAGTGACAAACGCGGACGCCCACAAAGTTGGGGCCTCAGGAGTTTCACCCCTAAAATTTTACGCTGATATATATTTTTTGACAAACAAAACAGCCAACACGCACTTAGGGACTCGCACAGATGTTTATTGCCGTCCGCATGAAACTTAGAGATGGCTATAGATCATGAACGAACAATTACAAAAGCTTGTCTTCTTACAGTAAGCACAACGAGGAAATTCACCAGATAACGCACAAGGATGCATAGCTTTCCGCAGGGGTGTACAAAAAAGACACTAGCCCCTCCGCCCCACCCCAAGCCTTACCAGAGCTTGTCCTCACCCAAGCTACACCAGTGCTTTCCCCTTCCCCCGCCCGCGATGCATCACTGTTTAGAAACTCTCAAGATAAACGCGGCGGTAATTGTTCTACCAAAGTTATGTTTCATAAAGCTTTAACGTTTCAAACCCCGTGACGCTCTCTGGTGCAGGATCTCGGGACTTCGTGCCCCTCCACCCCGTAGGGCGGAGGAAGATCTACGACAACGGGACGCTGGTGATCGAGAACGTCGAGTCGGACGACGAGGGGCTCTACCAGTGCGACGTCAGCAACGGCGTCGCACCGCCACTCTCCAAGACTATCAAGGTATCCGTGCACGGTAAGCACGTAGCGTGAGCTAAACCTCCTCTCGCAGCGCTCGCCGTGGCCGCTAGCGTTACGGATGCTGCGACAGTTTGCATGAAAGAAGACGATTATCGAATATACCGTAAAGTGAGAGAGTCCGAACCAGCTCACGCGTATGGAATGCTCTTGTTACAACAGAATTGTCAAGAAAGATTTCTTATCAGCGATATTTAGCCGAAATCGAAGACTCCCGAGAGACATTACAGCAATAATCTTCTGTGCAGCACTCGAACGGTGAGGGAGGCTCGCAGAGAACGTACATTGTGATTACAAGCCAATTTTCAGGGTGATGCCACGACGGTGACAAAATGCGGCTAACTCACGCATGAGCCTCGTCCGTCCGTTATCGGAACTTCGTAAAACATAACCCGTAGGACACGTCTTCGCGGCGCTTTTTGTAACTGAGCGTTGGTTGAAGTAAAATGAGTGTCGCAATGACTTCCAACTTCGCGTTTTGTACTAAGAGGAGATCAGCACGTGCAGAACACTCATTCTGTACACAGTGGCGCTCATTCGCTGCTACAACCATATTGAATCCGTGAAATCGGCATAAAAAATATCACCTTTAGGAAAGCTTCGCGTTCGTAAATGAAAAGCATATGAAGTTGTCAGCGCGCTGACACACCAGCAAGACGGAAATTTCGTGGTTGTTCAAAAGCCAAGCCGTCTTGATTCGCCCCCACACCAATATACTTGGGCAGTTCTCAAGCGACAGAATACTTGTCAGCAATAGAACCGTGCTTGCTTTCCAGAACCGCCAGATAGAGAATCCACTAAGGGTCGCTATGCTTACGGCCGGGTGACCAGAATGCAGTCTAGCACGCATTATTTCACAAGTAGGTGTACTGCGATTATAGCCTCGTACGCAATAGAAAGTCAAACTTTTTCAACGTATAGGCCTCACGAACTTTGAAAATTTTAAGCGCAACGAGCAGTACGCGCAATCATTCGAGATAACCATGCTATGTCACCGGAAAACTGGCCGCGAGGAATAAGGTCGGTTGTGATGTAACTATTCGAGTCAAAATTCCGCCGAGATGTGACAAACTGCAGCCAGCGGAAACAAAAATGCGTGTTTGCTCAAGCAAACAAACGGACGAAGAAAGAAAACACACGGACAAACGCAAGGTTCCCGTATGTTCAGCGGGAAGTACTTCCAGGAGTGCTTGCTCAGCCCTAAATTGTACTGTATGTATACGTTTACCTCTCGCTGTCCAAGTCCTGCTGTGCAGACCATATAACAAACCTGATAATGACACTCGAAATGCCGGCCGCATCTCTTTCCCCTGCAGTTCCCCCACGCATCAGCAAGTCCTCGTCAGATGTGTCCGTCAAGCGCGGGGACATCGCAAAGATCGCCTGCGAGGCCAGCGGACAGCACCCGCTGGTCGTCACCTGGGAGAAGGACAACACCATGCTTCTGCCTTCCGTCGACAGGTATACGCGAGAAATTACAGAACACCCGCCTTGTCCGACCTTAAAAAGATATATATCTCAGACGTAGCACGCGCGCGAGCCTTGTGATCTTGTCGAAACAAAAAAAGAGAAAAAGAAAGAAGGAAGGAAACTCCGCAATGTACGCGTTTGGCCTGGTTGGTTCGTGATTACGAGTAGAAAAACAGCGTGAAGACAGGACGAGTTAGCGCTGTTTTTTTTTTTTTTTGCAGCCGCAGGAAAACTCTACTAGAAGTTTATTTCGTTTGCTACCCTGCACTGAAGAGGATGGCAGAGGAATAGAAAGGGAGCACTCTAATTGCGTGCACACTGCACTCCACGAACGATCTCCAGGCGGAGGCCGCAGTTGGCAGCGAAGCCTGCAGTCAATAACGGGAGCGACGTACGCATTACTTGTTGCGACAGCGACTATAGAGGAACGCTCAATAGGAAATTCGCTATAGCCATGATGTTCCGTATGGAGAAAGAGATAAAGAGGGATGCCTGGGAGGTTAACCATAGATAGCATTGGTTTTGCTGATACCGAGAACTGGTGGCGAGTAGGGGCAAGAAAGAGGCGGTAGAGAGAAACAGACAGTAAAAAAAGGGGGGGGGGGGGGGCGCACATACACAAAAAAAGGTCGTTCTAATGGCAGTCGTTCAAACAGACCGGCCGACCGCAAGAAGTGCCGAATGGAGCTTGCACGGCCTTCCTCTGGAACGTTTTGTAAACCATAGTTTCCTAAATACACACTAGGGGAAACTCTGCCGCTAATGTATAGGGGAGCTGCAACGCATAGCGCTTCAGCGAGCATGGGAATTATAAGTATGACATGGATTGCCTAGTCTTCGTACTTTGCGTTCGTTCTCGATTCACGTGGCTTGAAGCTGCTTTGTCGCGAAACAAGAATCTGCAAATGTTCGGCAGTTATACGCTTCACCACTTTAATCTGTTAGGCTTACCACTCCAAATCAGATCACGAAGCACAAAACGGTTTGTTCTTTCCTTCGAAACAAAACCAAAACAAAGCAATAAACGAATCCACAAGTGCGTTTGCGGCCCGCAAGCATGAAGACTACGCAAATCTATAACCATAATTCCCATGGTCACTGAACGATCGTAGCGCCAATGTCCCCTCTAGTTAATTTCAGGAAACTCAATGGCGTGCACCAAGGCGTCCGACGTAGCACTCTGTCACAGGGATCAACCCTCACAATATAGATTACGATAGAAAATCAGATGTCGTGGCCACTTTAAAGCTTTTTCAGCTTCCATTTCACCGGTCAGCGCACGCTCACAGCCGACTGGTCGCAGGTACGAGACCCACGAGGAGATGAGCGCCACGGGAGTGACCTCGGTGCTGGTGATCCACAACAGCGCGCGCAAGGACGCCACAGCCTACGTGTGCGTCGCCAAGAACGACTACGGACAGACCAAGCACACGTTCCGGCTCACCGTGCTCGGTAAGTGCTCGCGTGAAGACGATGTTGTTTTAGAAATAATACGTTGCTGCAGGATCACATGTAAGGCAAATCACGTAAGAATTATTGCGCTGTGTGTGTGGGGGGGGGGGGGGGAGCGTGCGTGCGCAGTCGTGTGATGCAAACCTGAATCCCACTGCGATAGTTTAGTGGAGATGGCCTTGTAACTGCAACATTTCGATGTTGCGGGCGAAATTTATGTACACCGTCTACTTTGATGTGTTTGCATATCACAGAATCATTAGGAAGCCAGTTTAATGCGACGCACGCAAAGCGCGCGGAGTTTGGTTTTTAACGATATTTGCGAGAGTTCCTGAATCACTTCTTTTCCTATTGATTGACTGCTTGCGGAGCACAGCGATTGCCCATACACCCGATTCAGTATAACCTATTTCCTTTAAACCCTGCCGCATGGACAGTGCGAAGTGCATTCCCACGGTATTGATCCAAAGATCATTGACCTACGTGAAACAAAAAGAACAGGTGCCCATGCCACTGTCGGCTTTGAACAACCTCGTTGTGCCGCACGCCACTATCGTGATTAACGCGATGCCTAATTTCCCTCAACGCTGCGACCTCCAGCGGTCGATGTTTTCATCTCTCAAGGGTTTGAGGGAAAATTCGTGCGAGGTACTGACCTAAGAGAAGACACGCCGCTATACAGTGCCGTTGTGCAAATGTTTCACCTTCGCCCCGAATGGAACTTGGATCTCTTCAATTGTATAGGCAGTTGACATAACGGCCATTCATGTTATTCAAATGCTCCTTATTACGCTAATAAATTTATGGCTATGTCTCCGATTCGTGTGCGACTTATTCATTTTATCGATCGATTTATTGGCCGCGTTATCAGCGTTTCTAAATAAAAATTCTAATCGTATCTTCACTGACATGGTACCCCTCTCAACTTTACTTCTTTTCATTGTTATCGTTAAGCCCCGTTTATAAGGAAATCATTTAAACCTACTCTTTCTGCGCGTCATCTTGACGTAAAAAGTCATGTTCCGGGCTGAAGCTTCCGTCGTGACGTTGCGTTCCATTTCGAAGGTGTACTGCACGACACAATAATCCGTCCTAATTTAGTATTATTGTTTTTTATGTACACTCTTCCTCCATGCATTGACCGCAGAGCCCCCGGAGAGCCCGACCGACGTGGTGGTGACGGAGCGACGCAGCCGCTACGTGTCCGTCAAGTGGTCGCCGCCCAGGAGGCCCGTCAACCGATACGTCTTCCGTTACTGGAGGAAGTCGTGTACGTATAACTGTCGGCGTATCAAAGGTCACAGCAAAGCACGCGCCCTTAGCTGCTAGAACGCGGGACAGGCCATCCAGCTGATGGTCTCCTGCACATGGCGACGGAAGCATGTTTTTTTTTTCTCAGCGACCACAGCAATAATGCTTATGAGATGAAAGAAAAGGTTCGTTTTATTTTTTCACATTGATATCGCAAGTACGTTAAAAAGATTCGTGAAAGTCGCAAAGCTTTTGAAAACGAAACTATGCATCAGATGATTGATTGATATGTGGGGTTTCACATCCCAAAACCACCACATGATTATGAGAGACGCCGTAGTGGAGGGCTCCGGAAATTTCGACCACCTGGGGTTTCTTAACGTGCATCCAAATCTGAGCACACAGGCCTACAACATTTCCGCCTCCATCAGAAATGCAGCCGCCGCAGCCGGGATTCGAACCCGCGACCTGCGGGTCAGCAGCCGAGTACGTTAGCCACTAGACCACCGTGGCGGGGCGGAAACTATGAATCAGCAATGAGAAACACAATTAAGCTAACCTTTATAGGGGTCCGGAACCACTTTCCTTTCTCTGAACTTAGAAGAACTGAAAAAAGCATTAGAACGCGTCCAATGCCTTCCACAAGAAGAGTGCCAAAATAATTATATTAATTAATGATTACGCTAAGTCGTTAGGGCCCCAAGCTCTTGCGTTCTTTGTGCTCTCCCCGATTTCTTCTATCTGCAAGCCGCTCCTAAAGAGAGTACAAAAAAAAATACGGAATAGCTTGGGTGCTTAAGCCGCATGGTTGGTCCCCGCACTAAAGCACTCAAATGACCGCGGACCAGTGATGTTCCGTGCAGGGAATTTCCCCTTTTTTTTGGGGGGGGGGGGGGGGAATTCTTCTCTGTCGTTTTGAGCCAAATGGAAAAAGGGAATCTGTGATGTTGCAGGGAATTTCAGAAATGGCTAAATTCTCCTATGACGATCCATAATTAGCGGTCAAAGTGCGCCTTCATCTTCTGTAATCGGTTCTGGCGCATGGACCACGCAAGCATCGACTTTGAAATTTGTTCCCGATATTTACGGGGATCGATTTCTAGTTCACTAGTGGTGTTGGACTTGAAGCACACAATGTGCTGTGTACTAACCGTATATGAATTCATAAAGTCATGCTTTTGTTTTGCTGCAGTGGAGGAGCTAGTTCGCCAGTACGTGAGCCACGTGTAATTATAGTATGTGTGTGCGTGAATGGGGAAGAAGCCAGTTCTGTTGTGCAGGGAACTATACTGGGAATTTCGTCAACGTTTGCAGGAAAAAAATTCCCGAAATGGTAAATTTTCATGCCTCTGAATGGGAATTCTCCGGCGTAGTAGGGAACATCAGTGCCGCGGACAGCGTCCTGATCGAAGACAAAGGTGCAGGCATTTACATAACTTTGAGATAACGTAACCTAAAGGCGTGCGAGAAGATTGCTCTACCAGGCAGCTCGGCCGGCACCCCCGGCTCGGCACGCTCTGCCTCCGCGCCGGCGGCAGATTTCCCGATCCATGATAACGAGAGTGGGCCGTCTTTAAGCTCACTAGAAGATACAGACGGCCCACGCATTGACACCAACCTCTCCTTATATACTTTTAATTTTGAAAAAATGGAGACGCTCACCTGATCACTTTCCTCCTATCTACCACGCGCACTCCCCTCGTTACGCAACCCTTTTAAAACCCATTTAAGCTATCTCCCTTTCTCTCTAGATGTTATCTTCCTCTATCATCTGAAATGCTGAGAAAGGTCGCGCTATCTTCTGCAGGACCACGTTCGCCATCGCCGGGAAGTTTCCCATAAAGGCAAATGGCGATACATCACCGGGCGCATCGTTCTTCTATGCACTAGAGAAAGCGTGCGCGGGCAGCCGACGATCGCCGCTGAAGCGAAAGGGAAACGCACCGACCGTCGCGCGAAAGGGCCGTTGGACTGCGCGGCTACAGCGGTAAACTGCGCACACTGAGCTGCAGCAGGGCGCGGCCGCCCACGCCTTATTTTGACGGTGATTTACGGAAGGCTCATACCTTTGAACGCGCGAACTTTTCGACTCTCAATTTGCGTTCAAGTGGCAGGCAAAACAAAGGTGGCTTCGCTCGCTGCGGCGGCCACGTTTTATTTCGCCAGCGTTTTGTTCGAGTTACGCCTGCTCAGGTGCTAAGCTGCTAGCCTTGCAAACGCATAACAAATTTCCAATTAATTGCTATCGCACTCATTGTTCCGCGACATTATCACTTCTTCACACAACAGTAACCACTTCTCTACCACGCTAGGAAACATGGCTCCATCCTTCTCAGCTCACCTTTGCGTGCCTTTCCGTCCCACACAGAGCGTGCTGTGCGCAGAGGTGTAGTGTCGCGCAGATGTGTAGTCTTATGGAACTGTCATACATGTCATATAGACCCCGAAATATCATGGGTTTTGCCATAAATTTTTCAGACGGGGTAACCCGTTATTCGTACAAAAAGGGGGGGGGGGCGCACATGTTTTCCTTTCTCTTTTCGCTTTCTTGCTCTCACATTCTTCGTTTCACCTTGTCTTTAATTCTTTTTCTCTTTCTATGATTTTCGTGTTCTCTCGCCCATAGCAACGCATTCATGAAGTTCCTATAAATGCCTGTTCTGCTGTCATGCCTTTATAGCAGGTTTGTTACATAACTCGTTTTGGACCATGGGTACCAGGATTCGAATTCCTGCTCCAATTTTCGTCGCACGACACGCGAATCGAGCTCCAGCTTAAACAGCTCCGCTCTAAATACAACCATACGCCGTATACCAGGCTGGCCTGGTACCGACACCTCTTTGACGTTGCGTTCTAACGCGATCCCTCTGCACCGCAGCCCGCGGCAGCGTGCTCCAGGAGCAGGAAGTGGACGGCATGCGGACGTCGCTTATGGTCACCAACCTGCACCCGGGTACCGAATACTTGGCCCTGGTCCTGGCCGAGAACTCGGTTGGCTTCGGCGACCCCTCAGACACCATCACCTTCCAGACGGCCGCCGAAGGTACGCGCGTGCTCAAATTACGGGTGCCCTCTTGCCCATAACTCTCTTCGATCTGTTTCCTTCTCGTACCGAGATGGAAGATGTCTTTTCCTTGCACAATGTGGCCCACAAACGTTGTTTTCTGCAGCCGCGCGAGCCGCTGCCACAGTGGTGCGTGTGCTCTTTTAAGGTTTCTCGCAGCTTTTAAAACCCCGCCTTAATATGCAACTGCGTCATACTGCATGTGCGTGCACGTGTTTGGGTTCCTCAGGCACTCCTGTAACGCATGTATTATAATAGTGTCATCCCCACTTGCAGAGCCCAGCGCACCGCCGATGAATGTCCAGTGCGAGGCTCTCGACACCCGGAACATCAAGGTCTCCTGGGAGGTGAGTTTTCTAACAGGGACGTATAGTTGCCGGTATTGTAAAAAATATTGTAGGTTTTTCCATGTGCTTAGCGCGAAAGGCAAGTTATAGCTTGGATATTCACTTCATTCCTTAATTTAGAGTTGCTACAGGATAAATCGCGAATAGCCAGGCGCATCGTTACTGTTAACGAGAAATAAATTTCACACTTCTGCGGGTGTTTACAGCGAGAGATACTTTATAGTTTCGGTTCGCGCTGTACTCCGTGTGTTCCTACAGCGGTACACTGAGAATCAGCAGACGCATCGTTGCCGTTCTAGAGAAAGAGATCCCAGGTTCCTTCATATTGTCACCGCGGAAGGCATGCTATTGTTTCGGTTTCCGCCGCATTCCAAAGTGTCCGTTCAGTGGTACATTGCCAATGGTCAGAGGCATCGTTGCCATTATTGTCAAGATTTAAATTCCTGTTATGTTCATCACGAAAGACACGCATAGTTTCGGTTTCTGTTACAGTCCGCAAATATCGCTGTAGCGATACATCGCAAATGGGCATACGCATCGTTGCCGTTGTCGCGCAAAATATTTCATGGTCTTTCAGGTACATTCCGAGCAAAGCATTTGATAGTTTCAAGTTTATGCAGCACTCTTTAGCGTCGCTAGCGCGGCACATCGACAAATGGGTCAGGATGCATTGTTGACCATTCTATCGCGGGGTGTATCAAGGGTCTTTTAATCTATGCTATGTTCAATCACGAAAGACACGCATAGTTTTTCGGTTTCTGTTACTAGTCCATAAATATCGCTCCTAGCAGGACATCGCAAAATGGGGAGCGCATGATTGTCGTGAAAGGGGAATTCCCGTTCTTCTTTTGCGCTCCTGAGCAAAGCATTTCATATTATCGGTTTTTTGCAGCACTCCTTTGCGTCACTGCAGCGGTACACATCCGCCAATGGGTCGGACGCATGGTTGCCGTTCTTATCAAGGTCTGCAGTTCTTGCTACGTCCTCACGAAATACACCCGTATTTTCGGTTTTTGTTACAGTCCACAAATATTGCTCTAGCTGTACATCACAAATGCGGAGACGCATCGGTGCCGTACTTGAGTTCCTGCTGCGTTCATCACAAAAGACCGCGCATAGTTTTGGTTTCTGTTACAATCCATAAAAATGCTGTAGCGGTACATCCCTAATAGGGAGACGCATCGTTTCCGTTGTCGTGGAAGAGATTTCAAAGTCTTTCAGGTGCCCTGAGCGAAATGCACTACAGTTTCGCTTTCTGCTGCACTTTTTCAGCGTCGCTGCAGCAGCACATCGCGAATGGTCAGATGCACCATTGCCGTTCTTGTTAAGAAGATTTAGGTTCCTACTATGTTCATCACGAAAAGACGCGAGTAGCTTTGGTTTCTGTTGCAATCCATAAATATCGCTGCAGCAGTACATAACGAATGCAGAGACTCAGCGTTTCGCGGATTGGATGTCACGTTCTTTCAGGTGTGCTCCGTAAAAGGCACTTCATAGCTTCGTTTATGCGCCACTCCTTCAGCGTCACTCCAGCGGTACATAGCGAATTAGCTGACCCATCATTGCTGTTCTTGTCAATGACCTCAAGTTCCTCGTATGTTAATCCCAAAAGACGCTTAATTTCGGTTTCTGTCATAATCCATGCTGTAGCAGTATATCGCAAACGGGAAGATGCATCATTGCCATTGTCATGGGAGGGATTTCACGGTTTTCAGGAGCGCTCCGCCAAAAGCTCTTTATAGTTTCGGTTTCTGCAGCACTCCTTTAATGTCGGTGGAGCAGTACATCGCGAATACTCAGACGCATCATTGCCGTTCTTGTCAAAAAGATTTCAATTCCTGATATGTTCATTATAAAAGACATGCATAGTTTCAGTTTCCATTATATTTGATAAGTATTACTGTAGCGGTACATCATGAATGGCCAGGCGCATTGGTCGCTGTTGCCGTTATTTCACATTCCGTCAGGAGCGCTCCACATAAAGCACTGTATAGTTTTGCTTTCAGCTACATGCCTTTAGTGTCACTGTAGCGGTACATCGCAAATGGGGAGATGTATCATTGCCGCTGTCACGGAAGGTATTTCATGCTCCTTTAGGTGCGCTACGCAAAAGGCATTTATAGTTTCCATTCTGCAGCAGTGTCTTAGTATCACTGCAGCGGTACATCGCAAATGGACAGAAGCATCAGTGGTCGTTATCATAACAGGGAATTTTACGTTCCGTCATACGCACTCCCCAAAATGCACTTCGTAGTTGCAGTTTCTGCTACATTCCTTTATCACTGCAATGGATTCCTCGTTATTCTAAAGGAGATCTTACGTTCCTGCTATCTTCATCACGAATGGGACAGACATATCATTGCCGTTTCGTAACAGGTATTTTTCACATTGCTTAAGGTGCGCTTCGCGAAAGGCACTTCGTGCAGCACTCTTTTAATGTCACTGCAGTGGTAAAATACCAATTACCCAGACAAATCTTGGCACATTAACAGCGACAATTGTTTATGTCATTTCTGCCACACTGCACTGCAAGGTCGAAATACAGCATACACACATCTTGTGCTTTTTGGCATTTTCCTCCTTAGATGACATTTTTAGCAACATTTGAACAAGCTAACTGGTGAACACATTTACTAGATTTTTTTTATTCTATGTTTACACTTCCTTCTCTTACTTAAAATCAGCAGTGCATTGAAGCACAGATAATAAAGGCACACATAAAAAAATATCAGCAATTTATTTGTGCGTGCCCCCACTACCTGCACTTCAACGCACTGTTGCCAGATGGACAATGTTCAATTCAGGGTGCCTTCTGTAACAGAATATTTCGCCACTGTTCTCAGAATCAAGGCTCTAAAATTATATCATGTCAAGCAGATTTGTTAACCCAGCTTCAGTAACCGGTTTTATGAAGCAGAATGCACAGTACCATAATTACTCGAATCTAACGCGCACCTTTTTTCTGGTTAAGCGAGTTCGTAAATCGCATGCGCGTTAGAATCGAGTACGAAAAAAAAAATGAATACGGTCGTTCTATTGCCATCGGCACTCCGAAATGGCCGCCCCCTACGTGCGTCGGCATGGCGCGTCGGCCATTTCCGCCTATGTGTTTCCCATGTGCGGCACTTCGTACGTGTGCTGAGGAGTTCGTCATCTTGGTGTGCATTAGCATCGACTGCATGGAAGGCCGACTCCAAAAACTCGACGAGTGCACCACGGTGCCACTTTTAAAAGAAAAGATCGCATGTGCCGAAACGGACGTCAATCGGCTGCATCGCGGTCGTTCGAAGTTCCCGAACGTGCGTGCGGGACTGGCGGAAACGAAAGCAGAAGATTGTCGACAGCAAGTTTCACGCAAAGGCTTCAGTGGACCACAGCAAGGTTGGTTTCCGCAAGTTAAAGAGCTGCTCGGCGAGTATGTGCTTGAGCAACGAGCGGCACGGCGGCCCGTGACGACAGAACTGCTCCAAGTGCGGGCTATGCAGTTAGCCTTAGAATAGAAAAAGGGCTAATGCGGAGCCAGTTTAAAGCGAGCAGGTGCTGGCTAACTAACTTTATGAAGAGAAAAAGCTTTTCCCTTCGAAGGCGACCGGGGATATGCGAAAAGTTTTGCGGAGGACTACGATGAAAAGCTTCACAGTTTTCAGAGGTTCGTCCTAAACTTGCGGCACAACAACGGCTACCTGCTTGGGAATATCGGGAATGCCGATCAGACACCTCTTTAGTTCGACATGCCTGGCACCACAACTGTCGAGAAGAAGGGGGCGAAGCAAGTTCGCGTGCTGACATCGGTCCACGGTAAAACTACAGTGAGTGCAATGCTCTGTTACACGTCAGATGGGCACAAGCTTCGCCGTACCTCATATTTAAATGGAAGGCGCTCCCTAAAGGAGTCGTTTTTCGAGTGGTGTGATCGTGCGGGCCAGCGAGAAAAATGGGTGCGCGTTGCAATCGATGTCTTAAGTTTTTTTTTTTTTTTTCGTCGTGGAAATCGGGTGCGCGTTACAATCAAGGGCGCGGTAGAATCGAGTAAATACGGTATCCAAGCTCGAGCCTTTGCTGCTCATCAAATTTTGCTGTTCCTGAGCTAGCCTTCAAGAGCATAATTTCTGGGCACACATGTTAAGCTCTAGTCCAGATGCGTGTTTGTAACAGTCACTCTCCTTACTTATTCAAAAGTATACCTAATAAATAATGTTGTTTTCAGCCAGTCAGCCTTCATTATTCAGTCGCAGCAATTGTAATTTACCCCTAGCCTGACACTGACTGTTGCGCAGCCCCCGCCGGCGGACCAGTTGAACGGCGAGCTTAAGGGCTACTACATCGGCCACAAGATGGACGGCACACCATTTGTGCATGACACAGTAAACAGGGACACCGAGCAGCGCACCTTCAGGGGCCTCCAGGCGGCATCCACATACCGCTTCATGCTCAAGGCCTTCAATGAGGTCGGCTCGGGACCAGCCTCTGAAGAGGTTGCTTGCACGACATTAAACGGAGGTACTGTATGTACACGCATGCCATCCTTTTCTGTGGCATATGCCCAAATGACGCACTAGCAGGGAGGGAAAGAGGAGTCTTTCATTTTTCAGCCCAGCATTGGGTGGTCAAAGCCATAAAAATAGTGCCCTCTGTGCTGCACAAGTCATAAAGAACTACATATGTGCATACACTATGTAGCAAGTAATTTACAGCCATTCTTATGGTTGGCAGTCACATGACCCTTTGCCTGCTGCTCAAACTATCTAGCTTGAGTAGTAGACATGTGAATTGCAGCCATAAGCAGATGAGAAAAAAGTGAAGGACAGGGAGAGAGAGAATAGAGAGGGATTATTAAGATATGTATAAAGATAGACAAAATTTACAATAGTTCGCTTGCAAAGTGACCTCCACTGAGAGATTGTCAGGGAATCAGTGAGGCTCGGCAAAGGAAGTTGGTGGCTGGGGATCTGGTGAAGGTGCGTATGGTTTGTTGCAAGGAACGGGATTTACTTTATGGTCTAAACATGGCTATACGACATGGCTCGCTCTGTGCAATGTTTGCTTAAGAGCTAGATTTCACTCTTGTCATTTTGTATGTTCGAAAATGTACTAAACAATAAGGCCAAGCACACTTGTTTGAACAAGACTGCAGATAATCAGAAAGGCTGTGTATTTTTCTACATATACTCACCATGAGTAGTCACTGCTTGGATCGTTGCTGGATGTCCATGTTTGCCTTTCCTTTTGTCTTCCCTCGCTCACAGACCCACCAGCGGTTCCAAGCCTGCGAGTGACAGGCATCACATCGAATTCTGTCAGCTTGCACTGGAACAGCCCTACTTCTGCAGCATCGCCAGTCATACGTAAGTACATGCTCGTTTATGCAGCTACAGTTCACTATACAGCAACCGCGGCTGGACTCCAAGACTTTGCAACACTGCACTGATTTCACTGTCCTGCCAGAGATATGGGCTATGCCACAAAATGATTATAGTGGCCACAATCATTCATTCCATGCACAATGAGTTCCTATGACGATTACCTATGCCTCTCTCTATTCGTGAAGTCAACTTTGCATGCAACAGTGTCTCGGCTATATTCCTTACATAATGCTGTGGAAAGTACACAAATAGTGGTCAAACAAGTGTAACACCAAGTGTTTTCCTATGCTGTTATTTATTTGTGACCTTGCTATAGAATGCCTATTGACATACGGCAACTAAAACTTATAGATACAATCAACGACTGTTTGTTCGGACTGCTGAAAATTCGAACATACTGATTTATTCCAAGATGCTTATTTATTTAGACACCTTTGTGGCACCACTACTCCAATTGAAGTAATGTAGACTAGAGGCCAGATTTTTAGGCATAGAAAAGGCTTGGTTTAGGCTTCAAAAATAGGCAGGCAAAACAATATTTTAGGCTCCTTAAATTGTGAATACAGGCACAATAAATTTTGTAAACCTTCACATGAATGCAAATAAGTCCGAATTGAAGACGTGCACGACCACTTCTATCTACGACAAGAAATCTAAAATTTTTTTGCTTAAGACAGGTGGCGACAGTGTAACGTAGCCGTGAAATTGTGCTCAGAACATGGTCTCTCCTGTGTTCTGCGAATCACTTTTACCCCGCTGTAACTTTCTAGATTTGCATGTGTATATATACACACCACATGCAAATGTACACACGATTTTCTATTAAGTATAGTTGAACCCCCCCCCCCCCCCCCGAAACAAATTTCTCGCTATGCTTCTGCACTTAACACCTTGCAATGTAAACTAGAAACAAAACAGAAGCCAGTGAACATTATATTTTTTCTTTCTTTTTCCCTCTTCACTCTCCGCTGACGGCTCTCTGCGGTCTTGCATTTGCCAGCCGCTCGCACCATGTCAGTGCAGCAGCGAATGTTCACCAATGTGTCCCACTCCACTGCTGCCACATGTTGTTGTAGGAGTTGGTTGAACGGGAGCACTAAGTCGAACCCCTTACTTTGGCACAGTTAATCTTGTGAGGTAACATGAATAATGGTATAATGGTCTCAAACTGCACTCGACAGCAAAACTTGAGCCAAAATAGTGTTCTTATAAGTGTGAACTTTGAAAATAGGCATTTACAGGCATTTGTAAGCATTTGGGCACAAACACAATAAAAAAGCATCTATAGGCAGTATAAAAACACTAAAGATGTGCTTCCTAACCTCTAATTCATGCTCAAATACAAAAGTGATGCGATAGGAGCGCAAAGAAGGAAATCGGCATTTGCTGGAAACCTGGACTCAGCTTGTGACCAAAAATCTGGTTGCCCCACAGTGCACCAATCAATTTTTTTGGACTCCAAGTGGCTGATCGAGTTGATGTGAAATGCAATGAGAAGCTGTATGTGATGTTTACAATATTTTGCAAGGTTGCCAGCACTGGCTATAGCAGGAGATCATGCCAGTGTAAAGATGACGTAGAAATTACAATTACGAATCTCTTACGCTATGTTTGTTGGCTACACATTATGGCAGCTTTTAGCTTTAGCCAGCCAAGTATCCGTCGAATGGCTCCATGACCAAACCACAAGCTAATCTATGCTCTAAGTCAGTTTGGTATGGCATATGAGACTCCCCCTACGTACGACATAGAGAAAGACAGAACTACCCAACTACACTGACTACTCCACAAGCACTGCAACACAAAGTAGCCTAACTTCGTTCTTTGACATTTTTCAAACTTGCGTTGTCAGTTGTTTCTGCGATTAGGTCTGATCTGCATCTTGTGCTTTGGGTCTCCCTCTCGTTTGTTCCTTGACATGCGAGGCCTCATCTGCTAAATGGCTTCGACACCACATGCTCCATCCATCTTCGCAGTCAGTACCAATAATGAAATGTGGCAACTATAAGACATGGCAAGGAATGCTGCGATTATTAGCCAGGCGGAAGGCAGCTTATCTCGATCCAATGTGTCTTGGCAGTTTTCACTGAGTTGGAGGATGATAATATCAGGACCTTTTTTCGTGACTTCTCTTTGTTTTTGGACTCTCAATTATTTGGACTTCTTCGTAGTTTCTACAGAATCCAAATAAACTGTTAGCGACTGTATAAGGCTACATAGAATCATCGTCGCTGCTGTTCATAGAAGTTTGACATTCTCCTCGCATGACGAAGAGGTTGCAACGTTATAAACACGCAGCATTTTACAGAATGGTCACAATTTCACCAGAACTCAAGGCATTAATAGTACTGTATCAGGCCAGTAGAAGTAATGTTCAATATATTGCAGTAGACTTTAGCTAACAAGTTAAGTAAGAAAGTATAATAGCATCACACACGCATTAGAAACACGAACAAGCTTCATACAATGACTATAAGCATGCTCTCTTATAATCTTGTTAGGATGTAGACGTGAGCGAACCCACTGTATTGCCTCTCACTTCAACTAATCTATGAAAACTTTAGACAATACAACTGTTTAAACTAAGCACATGAACAGCACACATCAAGGAAACTAGTGTCCTTGATTGCAATTGCTTGAAGCATACATGGCAATTTTACAAACAACCAACCACCTAGGCTTGCTCAGTTCTGGCAACCACCACCAAAAAAGTATGAAGACTCCTTTTAGCTTAGCAACGTCACAATTGCTATGCAAAGCACAATGCTGTAAGACATTGCGTGTTGGGTTATGTCGCTAAAGCACACCGGAGAATTGACTGTTTTGCAGTTTCAGAACTACTCGCTGTTCAGAACTGCTCGCTAGCTTAAGCAAAGTGTCATATGAATGTGCTGTGCATTTTTAGAAATGTACTTGAATAAATTGATCTTTGCTAGGTGCTTTTAAGGAAGGGACAAGCTAGCAAAAACAAAAAGACTAAAGGCGCTCTCAAAATATGTTCTTCTTTAAGCTTAAATGTGTGCATGACCTCACCGAAATTGTACTTAGCTGGACTCGTGATTTAGTCTCACAAATAGTACCACCAATGCCCCCCATACAAGCTCAGTCAAATTCCAAGGTCGGGCTGCCGTAGTGAATCAACCTGTAAGATTGCCTATTATTGATCTGAACGCTACCTGCTCACCCCACCCAGAGTACGAGATCCAGTATGGCACAGATGATGGTGACAAACGGCAGCTGCATATCCCAGCCACCAAGGAATCGGTGACACTGACCGAGCTGCGCAGCGGCACCCGCTACAACTTCCGCATGGCTGCCTTCAACCTGTACGGCCGCGGTGACTTTTCGCACGACCTGCCCGCAGTCACACACCTGTCAGGTGAGAGTTGCCTCCATGCATGGCTACATCAATGGTTATAACTACTACCTGGTCACACCTATTTACGTCACTCAGCATCAAGGTGGTGCAGCTACGACATCGTGTGTTTAACCAATTATGTTATGCTTAATCTAACCAAGTTAATCTGCTGGTAATAACAAAAAGTACAGCACAGAGTGAGCACGAATATTGCAGAAAAAACAGACGAAGTAAGCGTGGCTCAGGAGTGCACACTTTCCTGGCAAGACAGTACTCATGTCATCCGAATTTTTTTATTTTTTTTGTGCTGGCAATGTGAAACCACCATGAACCACGAAAATGTTTTCATGAGTGCACATAGTTAAAAAGTCTCCGTTAGCTCTGTTTTCTGTTCTCTTAACAATCCATGAGACTGGTCGCATAAAAGCAATATAATGACGTCTTTGACACTCGCTACATTTCACATAGCCTAGTGTAATATTACATTAGTCTTCACCGCAGTTAGAAGCATAGGAAGCAATTGAGCAGGGCACAGGCAGGAGTGCCAGAAAATCACGAGTTATACTCGTCAATATGCTTAATATTGTACAATTAGCAATCCCTGTGCCTTCCTTAGCTTCATTATCTTTTGGTTTTCATTAAGGTTTTATGAAAGAAACGAGCTCTCGAAAATTCCCTTGCTTCATTCACATAACCACCTTCATCATGATGGCGCATGGTAACAATAGGTCCCGATGCATAAACTTACGTTCAGTGCACAAAAGGTGACAGAGGTGATATTAAGAGATGGACACAGTCACCTGTACCCGTGGACACCATTTGGGGGGTGGAAAAAATGTAAGGTAATGGCTCTCTCAAGCCACACCACCACAGCCCCTTGCACAAGTCCATCTACCCCTTGCCCCACTCTGATTCAACACGTTTGCACCCCCCATGCCTATGCCTATCATTCATAATCGTATTTACTCGCTTAATCCTCGCACTCGCATAATTCTCGCACCCCCCACAGCGCCCAACAAAATTACGACTTCTTTTTTTCCTCGAGTAATTATCGCAGCCCCAAAAACTGCCGCAATAATGTCATCTGCACGTTCCAGCCACTGATGATAATAGCGTGCGTCATCTGGCGCCATCTCTTAAGCATCAAACGTACTATTACTGCACGGAGATTCAATCCAATTCAAGCCAAGCCGAAGTGGCCAGTGCGCGTTGCGGCGTGTTTTGTATGTTGCGTCGGTAACCTTGTCAAGTTATGAGGCGATACTGAAGCTACACGGCTGCTTTCAAGTTAAAAGTGATAGATCATGCACTAAACAACGATGACAGGGCTGCCGATAGGCCCTTCGGAGTCTGTACCTAAATGCCCATGCACCTAAATGCCCATTCTCCTGATCCAGACTCCTCAACAGCGCATCTAGCACTGGTGTAGCTCTATAAAAAGGGCGCTAAATGTTGTACCTCAAGGCTTCCACTATCTCCGCAACGTACATACCAGCTGTTGCAGATAGCCTACTACAGATAGCCTTGGCAACTGCCGACGCATTTGTTATGCTGGTGCTTATGTGGAACACGTGCATGAGAGCAGATGATACTCAGCACAATGTGCATCACAGCCTTGTGTGGCTACGTGACTAAGCTACCCACATAGCTACGTCACTGCTCTGATTGGTGCCTAGAAACTAAAACCAAAGGTTGTCCAAATAGAAAAGGCCATATTAATTTACTTATCGAGAATAAATTGATCTTAGTGTGTGTATCATACTTCCTGAAGCTATAAGAAACATATGTAGCAAAGAACACGCAAGCCACAAATTTGGTGGCTCCACCCCTTTAAGATTATGTATCCCCAAGTAGAGCAAGGAGCCAAACTGCCTGTCATCATGGCACCCTATCAATAAGCTACCATGTCGATTCCTTCAAACTCAGAAGCTCAATTCCCCTTTTTTTTTTAGGTCAATTCGTTGTGTGTTTATTGCCCAAGTGCATCCTAAAAAAGCTGGGACTAGTACCCGTAATATTCTAGCTAGAAATAAAACGATGGCACGTTTTTCTTAGTATTATTTTTCTATGACCTGCAAGGATCTCTATGATCTGCAAGAAAAATTTAAGATGGTGTTCTTTAAATACTAATTTTTCGATAGCCTTAACTGTCACTGAAATTGAAAGTTTGAGGCCATTTACAAAAATATTTGTTTGAGGTACAGCAATGGTATTAGCACACAATATTTTACACATTATTTTATAATAGGTCGCCAAGTTATGGAGCACTGCCTGATTTACCTTAGGATAAAAAAATCTCATATATAGCAAGCTGCAACTCTTAAAAAATGTCATTTGTTCAGACATTTTCGAAAACAGTTTGTTTCAGCCCACAGGCTTCAAACAATGATGTCTCACTCTTCATTATGTGCACATTTATTTGAAAAAAGATAATCTTAACAAAATTAATGTTTGTGTTTTTATATCATTGGTAACTTTTGAGAATGACAAGGAACAAAATCGGTCCCTCGGTACAGAATAAGTTCGATATTTTTTTCCTCCTAAATTATGCAGTTAAAAAACAAATGAAGTCTACTTTCACACTACTGGATAGTATGTGCACGAAATATAAAATACTCATTCGAATCAAAAATATCAACTTTCAGACCCGTGTCAATCTCTCGTGGAATTACCCAACAGATTTCGCACGCAGCTTTGGCACGAGACCTTGTTTTATGAAGAATGATGCACACCACAGTTACTTTCCTCATGCAGTAAAATATCATTCCTTTAAACTAGAAGGGGACTGTAAAATTGTGCAAATTAAGTGGTGTTTGAATTAGTAGCCAGGCAATAGAATGAACAAACATTACGCCCCACTGTGCAGCGAAAGCCTCGAGAAGCCACCTGTGGACAGGTCTGTGGCAGGTAATTTCGTAAATTGAGTTCATGCTCTAACAGCGAACAGAATTTATTGATCAGTCAGTGATACGCCAGAAACAAGCAGCCACTTGCATTTATGTGAGCCCTAATCCCAAAATATGCTAGATTACTTGTGCTGCAAAGTGCTTTCAATTGCATGGCAGAGTTAAAGCAATCAAAATTTAAATTCTTTATTTCTTAGTTTATTTAGAACAATATTGAAATTGTCCAAGGAAACCAACTAAAAAAGCAAGCGCTGTCTGACTGGACCATGCCGCTCATACAGCAGTAGCAGCAGACAGACGACATTTGCAACCATAGAAGCATACATAGAAACCAATCACTACACTCGTTTTACACAGATCGAAAGGAATGAGTTATTTTGGGTAATCATTCTGGGCTGATTTCTGCGAGAAGAAAGGAAAGCCAGGGGGTTCCCAGTTCAAATCAACTGTTGTAGATACTCGCGTATTCCAATTATCAGGACTTTTTCCCCGTAGGTATACACAGGTCTGTGCCAGGGCCAGAACAGCAGTTTCAATCAACAGTAAATTCAAGTTGACTGACTTTGATTTAACGAGCTTTACCTGTACAGCTCTTTACAGCTCACTGCAAGTATTCATAAATGTGTCATGCCTTTCGCAGACGGTGGCTCCTTCCCCTCACTGGTGGATGAGGAGATGCCCTTCTACTATCGCACCTACTTTGTAGTGCCTGTGGTGGCCTCCTTCACAGTCATCATCACCGCCATTGTGATTGCCTGGGCATGCCTCAAGAGGGCAACTATTCTACAGAGTAAGTACTGATCATTCAGAGCAGGGCTGGAGCTATCAGTGGGCATAGAATCAATACTGGGATTGTGTGCCTTGCTCAAAGCCACAAAGGCACATTCAGACATGAGTGCAATCAACACAATACTTTTCACAGCTTTGTGTTGTGAATTGCTTCTTCTTCTATCCTAGTAACCAATAAGTGTGGAACAGAAACTTTTCTAACTAAAGTTAGGTGTCTCGCACTAGATCAAACCAGTACCCCTAGCTTCAATGTCAGATTCATCATTTTGTCATCATTTATTTTCCCTCAAAAAAACCCATGCAGGGCATTAAATAAGTGGTGGAAGGGGGGAGTAAAGGTACAAATAACACTTTGGTCATTATTATACAATGGTAAATACAAAGCAAAAGAAACTACAGTATACATGTTCGAAGTAAAAAAACAAAACAAAAACAAAGGCAGCACAACTGGTAGTACAACTGCCTTACATGTGCTTGCAGTGGTTTTCTGCTTGAGAGTATCTTTGCTGTATGAATATGTTTTTGACCCTCCAATTGAAATTTCATGCCGTAACGATGATGTGCACTCGCTGGGAGATGTTGCCACCTCGTAGGATTTAGGAGAAACGTTGTAAATGATTGCGCAGCTTTCTCACGGAGATAAACGTGGCTGATTTCTAGAATGAACACATTGTGCAATCTTTGGCGACCCCGGTGGGCAGCATGCTTTTATAGTTTCGGCGACGGAGGCATGCTGCTCTAGGAATTTTATCTTCATCTGCCATATCTTGCAGGGATGGTGGAAGTTGGTTTCCATCGTTATTTGCAATAGTCTTAGCCTAATTATTACGAGCACTCACAAGGTGCTCTTATTCCCCTCGATTATGAAGTTCACTTTGTGCAAGGCAGCCACACGCATGAACGTGTAGTGTGTGTTTGTCAGAACGACTCTTCCCTCAAAAGAGAGAACAGAGTCACGTGTGCAGACGGTGATAAGACGCTGTGAACAAACCCGTGTTTCAAGGGATGCCATGTTTGGAAACACTGTTGAACATTTTGAAGTTGTGAGGCTGACACGAAAAACTGTTCCATTTTTTTTACACTTATTCTCGAACTTGCCCCGCCGCGGTGGTCTAGTGGCTAAGGTACTCAGCTGCTGACCCGCAGGGCGCGGGTTCGAATCCCGGCTGCGGTGGCTGCATTTCCAATGGAGGCGGAAATGCTGTAGGCCGGTGTGCTCAGATTTGGGTGCACGTTAAAGAACCCCAGGTGGTCGAAATTTCCGGAGCCCTCCACTACGGCGTCTCTCATAATCATATAGTGGTTTTGGGACGTTAAACCCCACATATCAATCAATCAATCAATCTCGAACTTCATGCAATTAGTACATTAAAAAACCGTAATAAACTAATCTGACCATCAGCAAAAGCTTTTCTAGAAAAAATTCAGCACTGAAATGGTTGGAAAATTTGAGCAGTACAACTACAGTAAAATAATGGTCTCAAAGACATGACTGCTGGTGCCTAAATTTTCTGGAATCCCGTTCATTCACAATCCTCAGGTAGCATGTTCCATAGTTCGATACCAGTAGATTAGAAAAATTTGCTATCAGCTTTAAAGGTGCCATGCCAGTGTAGACTAAGGTCATTAAACAGGCAGTGATAAGTGTGGCTGGGCAAAGATCAAATAGTACTCCCGTGGTTTGAAAATTTGCATATACAGATTGTGGAAAAGGGAGAGTGTGAAATTTTATGACAAAGTGCTGAGGCTAAATATGCCGAGTTGTTAACGACAAGGAGACACTGAAAACATGTGAACACTGCAAGTAAATGTAGCTTGTGGCCGTGTGATATCACATCGCTGGCACGCTGGCCATTTCCAATGCTAACGCTTTTCATTCTTTTCATGCTTGCTCACGGGTGAGTGTCACGACATGGCCATTGTTCTGACCAAAAGCTAAACAAGAGGAGTAGCCTAAAACAATGTGTGGTTATTGTACAGGCAGCACGATAAGAACTTCCAGGAAGCCGGACAATAGAAATGCTCAATTTAGGCGATTCCTTTGAGTGTGAATTTCTTAAAGTCTTAGAAGGGACACACCAACACAACCAAAATTGCATCCGAGCCTGTCACGGACGGCCATTTTTGGCGGCCCCGCGTCACGGCAATTAACGGGCGCCGTACTTCCCCACTGACCGTGGGAACGGCGGGCGCATGAAAGGGAGCCGAGAAGTGCAGAATGGGGTGCTCTTCTTGGAACCTCGCCGTCGACGATTGATCCTTTTGTAACTGCGGCGGCGTCTGCAAGGTCGTGGAAGGCCGCGATGTACCCCGAACAAGGATTAGGCTACGGGACGCACCGGCTGAGAGCCAAACAGTCTGACCGTTTCCCAAGGGGAAAAGCGTGGGGAACCCTCTGGTGGCCAAGCCGTATGACAACAACCCAACAGGTTGTCACTCTCGCTAGTTGAGGGCCCTCTCCCAGTTAAAAAAGGGTGGGGTCAAAATATTTTTGGGGCGGAGTTTTCATCAATCAAACGCGCATGATTGGACCCATGTAGAGGTCTCTTGTCCCCAAGGAACAAGGAAGAGAGCGAGGAGACATGAGGGGGACTTAAGCGCAGGATTTTGCCCTGCTAGGCAGACTAGTCGCTGACCAACATGGTGTAGAAACAGATCAACAAGGATCTCTTCTAGAAGTTTTTAGTGTGGCTCTGTATCGGCTGGCCACCTAAACTTAGCCGTTCGTCTAGTTGTGACGCGATATTAACGTCTGCAACGTAGACATCGGAACTTCGCCTCGAGTTAGCTCAACCTGCTCAAAGTCACCTGCAAGCACTAGCCTCCCGGAGCCACCAGCGTTGCAACACCGCCGACATCGCAGTCGTGCCAGAACTCTCTTCGACTTCTCGCATCCGATCGTCGGGGACGCAACGCGGCCGCTCATCACATGTATGCCTTCACCTGTTTATATCTTCGAACTTTCTCCCCCGTAGTCTATTGGTGCTAGTTTGTGTAGTTTGTAGCAGTTCTCTCTTGTAAGCTAATTTATTGTTTTTATATGTATTTTTGTTGTATCAAGTGTTGATGTATTTTGTTAGTTGTATTGAAGTGTTGTACTAGATCACGTGAGCTGCAATATCACTAGAGTAAAGTTTGTTTTGTTTTCTCACGTCTCTGATCTCTTCACTGTCTCTGCTTGCGTACGGAACGAACCAACCTGCTGTCATTCCCGTCGCCGACTTCGTGCTGGCGACGCTAGAGTGGCAGCTTGTAACAACTATATAATAATACCGGGAGTATTGTGTCAAAAACATGACATGATTATGAAGAATGTTGCAGTGGAGGGCTCCAGATTATTAGACCTCCTGGATTCTTTCATGTGCACTGACTTGACACAGTAACACAGGCCTCTAACAATGCAACCGCTGCATCTGCATCTTTCTGGGTCAGCAGCTGAGCACCATAACCACTATGCCACCCTAAAGATTGTCGGGATTTGACCCCTAAGGTTGCTTAATTTTCAGCTAAACCTAAGTACACGGCCCCCTCTAGCACTCTCCCTGCATTGATATATGGCCGCTGCAGCCAGGATTCCATTCTGGAACTTCCAGGTCAGCAGTCGAGCACACTAGATCGCCACAGCACATCACTGTGCCGCCACGACACCCTATGTTGATTCTTCAAAAGTAAAGCCAGTGGTAGTGGTGAACTCAATGCAGCCACTGCTTCCACAGGTACACCCCTTGTCAGCCAGTATGCCCGCAATTCCTACATGAGGACAATGGACCCGAGGAACAGCCAGGGCCTGGAGGAAGCCTACGACGTGCCATGGAACGGACCAGCCACTAGAAACACCATGGTACGGTAGGGTGTCCCTTTTCTCTCTCTCACCACATCATTGCCTCACATAGCTCGCATCCACAAGCATTTCACCGACGCTGCCTGGGCGGTTGCTTCCGGGCAATGCATGACGAGCATGACGCCGCTGCTTTGCACCCTGCAACCGGCCACAGCTTTCACAGCACCCTCGAGGACTGCCAACAGGGGGCAAGGGCAAGGACCTCATTTTCCATCACTAGATTGCTTCTTTCTTGCCTGTTCTTTCACTCCAAACACGTTTGCTGCTCTATGAATGCCCAACCAATGCCACACTCCAAGCACTGCAGGAGATTCTAGTCTAAGAGTGCATTTCTGCACACTTCACATCTTTCAAATTTCACGGGCATAGTTAAATGGGTGCCTGCTTACTTTTTTGTGGCCATTCGGTTTCAGAAATAAATTAAGGTTTGGGGCTTCAGCATGAGAGGGGAAAGTGCTGGTAAGCCTTAGTGCATAATCAATGACTTGAAGGGACCTTGCAACATTTTTTGAACATCATTGGGAAATGCTCTCAATGTGTAGTTAAAATTTCTCTTATCATACGAGCCAAATATTATTGCACTGTACACAGGGAATTCAAAGTTTCACGCATAACACAGTTGCAAAATTACTTGCTCCCTTTTTGGTAATATTCTCTTTCAACTGTGCAGATGGTCGGAGCAAGCATGTGTGACAGGTTATTAGCTTACTTTATTAACTGTGTGCTAGCAGATGATTTCATTGGCCATGAGCCGCATCACATAGGTACTGCGACTGCCCATGGGGCACCACCATGTGTCCGCAACATGCACATCAGAACCAAAACTGCCAGGCATTCGCAGTCAAAAATGAAAGAACCAAAAATATTCAAGAAAACGATGCTCAATTATGTAACTATCTGCTGACGCATCGACCCTAGCGCACTCGCTTTTTTGTCAAACTAGCAGCTTGAAGTAATCAAACTATAAAGAATGTGCTCATTTTGTGCAATAACTCTGCCTATACTCAACATACAAAAAACATTTTGTGGCTGGAGGTTCAAGAAGCAACAGACTCAAATAGCAAGTAGCAGTTCTGTGATAACTTGGAAAATGCCACGTGTGCGCTTTTATACAGCAGCTTTTTACCAAACCGTCTTAGTCTCATTCCTGGAATGCTAGCTGCTATGTAATGACATGTCGCAGAAAGTGGTTGTGTGCAACCAAGTATATTAAATTGCAGCCTGTCTTTCTGGTTAGCTTAGTAACAGTCTCAGGTGCCACTATTGACAACTAGCAGTATTAAAAGACTAATGAGCAAGGCGTAGAGAGTGCCAAAACATAGTAGAATATCAATCACACATGACCACTTTCTCCTGATAGCAACATCACAATATTGTCACATTGCAACGGTGAGGAAGTCGGCATTCCAGGCGTCAATCTTCATTGCACAAATTCGTCCTAGCAAAACAAGTGACACTCACAATGGAAGTATAGCTGCAAGCACAGTGGCCAGTGGTCGATAACCTGTCCCTTTGTTAAATACAGAGGCTTTTGTATGAGCGGCATCGCACATTCCATGGTTATCGCTGTTGCTCACATAATCGTACCTGCCCATCTAGCAATTTCTGCAATCGGGAGACTCGCCACAGAGGTGGGCGTGGGGACCAGTCAGGAAAATTGTCGTTATCTCGAAGGGTCCCTTGAACATTTTTTGAACTTAAAACGAAATTCATGTTTAGCCCGGATGGTCACTTCAAAGGGGCCTTACAACACTCTGGACATACTCAGAATTCATTACATATCAGCAGTTGGGACACTTGTGAACATGTGAAGCATAGGCATGCACACGGGGCAGGGCAGGAAGGGGCGAGATTGGCATGATAGAAAGAGGGGGTGCTGCAACGAACCTTCATCATCTACCCCTGAAGGGGAACCTGCGCACACTTTTAATGTGAGGCACACAGACCACTGCACTCGTGCATGGAATTGCCGCTTTCATTTCACAGACAGCCAAAAATGGCTCGCACCCCTCTTGGCAAACGGAAATAGACACGGCAAACCACTAATCTCTTGATCGCGAATGCATGCTCAGTAGAGTTTATGTTGATAGTTTTTAATTCAACAAACAACAAATACAAATTTATCGGAATTCAGAAACACCGAAGTAAGCATTTTAGTACATCCCATCTCAATCAAAGGTCGTTTTGCTTTTTTTTTTTTGGTTTCTTCTCGTGTTAATACGAGGTGATACGGGGCTTAGTAAAGCTCGTGCTATTTTCAATTTTACCGATCAGAGCGGGTCGCTTGTCCCACAATGCACCAACTACCACAGCACTTGTCGATTCACATCATCAGTTCCGAATCTGCCGGCAAGCTGGCCAGTGCATGCTTTCTCTTTTACGTGCCTTGCAAGCTATACATCTTGGCCAACACCGCTTGGTGCTTCACTAACTAAAACTGCTTCAAAATGATGTGCTGTCTGGGTTTCCCTTCTATCCACTAGTCAACCTGACAAAGTACAGCGCCGGTGAGCACCCAGTACTTCTTGCTGAGCTTGGCCATCCTTACAATAGCTACGGCGCGGTAGCACCAGAGGTGCTGGCATGCCGCACGTTTGGCACAGGCAAAAAGGGGTGCAACAGCAGTCGTCTCATAATCACACGTTATTGTACTGACACTGTAGATCTTGCAATTTAAATTGGGTTGAGGCAGTTTATTGGGAGATTCATAGATCGTACTAATCAGGAAAAGGGGCAATAAATTAGGAGCCTCTCGACCAAATCGGGAAAGTTGGCAAGTGCGAATGCAGTATGTGGCTTTTCGTATTGCACAGGCAATACACGAGATTTATTGACAATACTAGGAAACGTTGCAAGACATTCAGCCATGGCTTGCACCGAGGGATAATGTATAAGGGCTTTGGACTGTGAAAGTGATCACATTGAAACAGAAAAAGCAGGTATGTGGGCCAGTATATAGCATAACATCCACAAATAAAGCCAATTTGTGGTTGTAAAAGTGCTGTTATGGTCAATAATTAAGGGTGGTTTGAGGCTCAGCAGCATTTTTTTCCATGCTTTTGTGACCCAAAACCTACACTTAGCATGAAAAAAAGACGTACTGAGAAGTTTGTGTAAGTAGTGTAAGTGTAAATGTAGCTTGCACAAGAGATGACCATTCTGACATTATTAGTGCCACTTTACAAATGCAAATTTTCTTAGTTTGGCATATTATTATTACCACTTTAAAAAAAATTATGAACCCAGTTGTGAGTCAGTGCCTATTATTCACATACTTGTGTCCATCTTTCGCGCAAGCTGCAGCTTGAAAAGGCCCTGAAACACCCACAAGTTCAATGAGAAAACTCATTCCGCACATAGGAGACGCTAGTGTTATGAATGTCTCGACCAAAATTTTGTAGTTCTGCGTGGTATGTGGAGTGCCAGACCTTGCCACTTTCTAAACATCCTTCTATCAACATAGGCCTGCTTATTACAGCAGTGGGCTGGTCACTAGAACCGTAATGACATTTTGCAGATTCGCATAGAAGGCTGCCATTGGCTGATCGTTCAGATGAAGCAGACAGGATGTTTTGATCACTGTGCTTTTCCTACAATTACTGTTTATCCTAGATGACGAAGTTAACCATAAAGAGTACAGGCTGTGTAATCAAATCTCTGTCTTTCAAATTCTGATAGAAATTGTGCACTTCTGATAGAAACCAGCGACCATGTAATCACGCAGCAACGCCCATCCATTGGAAATGAGATGTTAGCGATGCCCGTGCTTACTTTTGGGGAAGCCATGCTCGCTTCTGGGGAGCCATGTTCCCCAAAATGACAGCATGGCTTAGTGTCACAGGAAAGTGAGTTGGAAAATAAAACATTACAAATGAGAGGAAACGCGACGATTTAAACCTACGTGTGGAACGGATGTCCTTACGAGTACGACCTGCCTTGATTATCCGCACCACCTCGCTTCTCTGGGAAAAGATGATGCTGAGGAGATCTAGGAAAGGTAAACATTGTGCTCACAATTGTAGACATTGGCAAACATTGTGCACACAAGTGTTTCTAAGACTACAAAGATGATCGGGACCCCTCTAACAAACATCATACACTAGGCCAGCTTTCAGTTGTATTACTTTCATAGGCACAGTTCTCCCAGCTTGACATGGCATGGTTCTTTCAATGCACATCTCACTGAACATGAATTGATGACTTCGGAATCTCACATTTTCCATGGACAGTGCACTTTTCAAAATTCCATCAGTGTGTGAACCATATCGGAGGCTTTGTTGGCTAACACAGTTCAAACAGTGAATAACTGAAGTTCATCCATAATACACTAATTTTTTGTGATTGCAGTGATTTTTTGTGATTGCAATTTTTTGTGATTAAACAGTGCAGTGACTGCCACTTCACCCTAACCCACCCTTAGCTGGTGTTGCAATGCTAGGATTAAGTAATATGCTGGGCTTTCTTGCTAAGGTAGCAGCAAACATGTTCTTCATGTATACTTGCCACGTGCAAATCTCTTTGAAAGTATGTCAGTATATAAATTCAGTTCATGATAGCCTCTCAAACATATATACTGTCACATTAGTCTCCCAAGATTGACCTCTCCGAGGAAAACCTGCTTGTATTTTCCAGCTGCTTAAGCGCATGGAGTAAGACGCATCTGATCTAGTCGGTAGTTGTAGATCTAAAATAATTTTAAAAACATCCTTGGCTCACCACTGTTTGGTATTGCTCAAATTTCACAGCTAGCTCACGTTTCATAGTCCTGACCAAATATTTGTGGGACTATTTGCATGAATAGTTGCACGGTTTGTCAAAACAAAAGCAAGAAAAGATTGAAGGTGCCTTTTTGTACGACTCTCGCGATGCTGACACAGGCACTTGTTTATGTCTTTACCTGGCGCGAATTGATCACTGGCTTACAAGCTTTACGAAGCTCTCGGTTGGCACAATTATATGTGCCTATATGTGTCAGAACCTTCTTGGAAGTTATCGCTGATGCTAAGTGGGCTGTATATGTGACACAAATATCAGTGCACATACCAGTGTTTGCACAAGCTCAAATTTATGATGACGAATTTTTAATTAAAGAGCCCAGGCATTCCACACAGGGTTGAGATTTTCTATAATTTATAACTATGCTTTCCACTATATCTGTACTGTTAGTGTGTTTGGTTCTTCTAGCTTGTTTATTATCTTACACCTTCGGTTACCGTGTTCTTTGCCGTCACAACACTGCCATGATGCGCACATTGTTGAAGCCAGTGTGTAATTGAAACCAATCTCGGACGCTATGCATTTGAATGCTGCCAAGAGATATTATAGCTCTGCCATATGAGTGAGCACTAATTAAGGCACTTACAAAACATATTTACGCTGATTTCTTGACAAACTTAACAAAGTGGGGCCTGCATTACTGTGAATGATCAGGACACCGAAATGTGACATGTGATCATGCTGAGAAAATGGAGTAAAATCGAAGCAGGCTTAGAAGAAGTTTTTGTGAAGAATGTTCTTTCCATAGCAATGCCACTATAGAGTTGAAGCTCTGCACATCCACAGCAGTACGATCAGACTGCTTCTCTGCTGATGGCCCGTGTGCTTTCATTATAGACTACCCAAGTTAGTGCTTTGCTTTCACTCACACTTTTATCATGTGTGCTTGTTTAACTATCACTGATAAGAATGTTAAGCAAGCGATTTATAGCACAAACAAACATGACATAGAAAATACAGGGATACCGAAGCATAACCCAAGATCTTGTCAAGATCAGGGACACAGACAGGATATTATTTAAGGAAGGGAATGTGTGGTGGATCAGGGAGGGCTGTTCTATCTACAGTTTTATGTGTGTATATATTATATCTATCATAAATTGAGTGTAAGAAAATTTCATCAAGAAAGAAGTGAAGTTGAAAACACCCTCTCCTTTCTCTCCCCTCTGTTATGGTTGTGCCAGTGGTCCAGGCTTACTGATGAAAAAGAAAAAAAAAAAAGCTTTTTTTTTCTCTCCACTACCTTTGTTTATAACTATGTGGTGAAATTTCAAATACTTTGTTATTTGGTACTAATAATGGTACTCTCCTGACAAAGTACATACATGTAACCTAGTTTTTGAATGAATACTACTGGAAATCTTGAATAGTATGTAATTCCCTTCAGCATTCTTTGGGAAACGGGCATATTTCATTCCTGCCTCACAAGTGACACTCGTTTCCAAGTTTTACACGCATTTGCGTGTTCCCAGTTTTACACGCTGCTTTGAGCACAGCAGTGTGATTTTGTGCATGGAGATGTGCAATGCAACTCATTTTCACGCAACTTTACATCATCCAGAACTAAGTACCCTCAAGTATAATATATGACGATTTCAATAGGAATAAACATAGTAACATCAGGAACTGCACCATAACACTACCATATACTAGAAAATATTTTTTCTATAATCACATGGCTATGCTGTGGCAGCTTCCCAGCAAACAGTAACACTGCACAATGTTGCTAACACTGTCACCCTATGTGAATACTAGATAACACAAGAGAGAATTTAGGTGTGCAGGCACTAGGCGTTTGTGACAGGTATCGTGCATGTCATTTATTGGTGAACCTTCGTTAAAGTTGGTTGAAATTGAGAATGTAAACTACTACACAAATTCTAATTGCGTTTTATTTTGTCGCTCTGTCCATTGCAGAGAAAAGAAGGAACCTACACCCGCCTGAAGAACAACCGGCAGCAGAACCTTGTGTGAGGCATTTACTATTCCTGCTAGTCATGTGTATGTGTACCACTACACTTTCTGTTGTTCAGCTCAAGTAGTACTAGCAAGGGCATTTTTTTGTTTTACCTAGTGCTGTATCACAGCTAGGCACAGCTTAGTGTATGGGCATTCCAAGACTGCTGGGCGTTACTTATGCGTTATGCCTTACTTCGATTTGGCTGTATCTGAATCTCCAATTGCTGTTACGAGGAAAATAATCTTTCTTGGATTTTCTCCAGTGAAGCTAAATTTATACAGTGGGATGCATTGCCGATTCATTCTGCAGATGACCGTGACAGAGCATTGCTGCAAGAATCATGTTGCTAGCAGCTCTCCTGTGGAGCTTTTCAGCACGATTTGGTAATGTTGCACGACAATGCTACATATCTGTTGGCTGAACCAGCGGTACATCCTGTTGTGAAAGCCTAAATTGCTTTGTGAGGCAAGCATTCGCAAATGCCCATTTCTTTGCTGGTGCAAGTCCCGATATTAAAGTGCTGCGAGAGTAGCCCAGCAGTCTACCTAAAAGGCCTGTCAGCTATGTTACAAATACTCAACGTTTTATCACTTGCACCGCTACAGCAAACAACCTACATAGCGTGTCAGTCAGTAATTGTATATGACGTGTTTGGGAATAGCTCTCAGGAATGTCACTCTTAATTTAATGGTCATTTACACGTCTGCAAGTCAAGGTTTGATGACGAGATCCCGAACAAGTGCTCCCCCCTTCTTCAATTTAAGATAACGAGACAAGATTTGGAAGGAGTAGGTGGGCCTGCCTCGTCATGGACCAAAATTCAAGATGGTTATGAAAGAGCCACAAAGAAATTGTTTTTATGAGGTGCTCCATTACACATGCACTAGGTGTTTTTACTGAACTGGGGGGAATCCTGGCATGAATTTTCACCTTATGACAACAAGGGAAAGACGTTCTTCAGATGTGTGACAATTTGCAACAAGTAGGAATGCACCCCCAAGTTCCTGCAAACTACCGCTGCAGGATTATTTAGTGGAGAACAGGTTGAAAAGAAATAGAGGAGCGCACTTGCTTGCTCCCTGTTAGTCCATATTTTGAATCTCCCCAAAAGGGTAAGGGGTGCTTGTTCGGGATCTTAGGTTGTGTCTGAACCCTCAGCAGTAAGTTACCATAGTGTGCATGCTGGCATTCAACACACATTACTACACTTATGTGCTCTGTAGCTGAAAAGATGTCTTTGAATATCAGTCTCTCACAATCTCCATAAGAAAGTGTCAGTTCTAAGACAGGACTACTAGGCTTTCTCTACCAGTAAACATTCTATACTCACCCTGATTTAGCATTTGGCACCAATGCCGTTATACATTTTAAATGTTTATACTACTGTACACCCACGTGTTTGCAGCTCTAATTGTGGTAACTTGCATCAGAAAGTCCTGTAGAGATTCAAGGCAGCAGTGATACCATGTAAATAAGACAGCCTTTGGCAGCTTACTCCTGAGATATTTCAGGAGGCATTTTCGTACAACAGTGAGGAACTGAGCGTTTCTGTATCATGCACCTTCGTATTATCATACACTGTGGTGTGACTGTGATGCATATAAGAACAGTTTTATTTGTAAAGAAAAATGTTTTTGTGCTGTGTGCTCGTAAGTCATGTTTATGTGTGTATTGTTAGCCATTGTCACTTTATGTGCTCTCAATAAACAAGGTGGAAATCTTCCATACTGTCTACAGTCATTCGTTTTGTAGTGCTACATTCAAAGCCTCGTTGTCTTCGTAAAAGCTGGAGTGAAATTGAACCATGAGCTTTTGAAGTATTCTAACATGACATAGGGATACCGAGTAACGTGGTGCAAGAATGAAGGGATGTCATTGTTGGCACGCTTTATACTTATAAAAACACCAAAGTACTCACAATGTATGTGGCATAGGTGACATACACTGGAAATACTGTGAGGACTGGGTCTTGCTAAAGCCTTTGTTTTGGCAAACGGATTTGTCTTCTTCAAGGCTGCAACCTTGAAGAAGATAAGTCTGCTTGCTGAAACGATGGCTTCAGTAACACCATGTGTTCACGAATTTTTCATCTCTTTAAGTTTCCATCTTACTCTAAAGTTCTGCCTTTTATGGGCGAGACGAGGTGTCTGTGTAATGTGATGACAACATGCAATTTGATCGTAATGTACAACAAGCATGGCTCGCGGAGGCTAGAGATTCTTGAGGATGCTGCCTAAGCCATAGCTTATTACCATGAAACGATGGGCCTCAGCAGGGTATTGTTTTGGGGAATGCGAACCCCTGCTGCGTAATGGCTGGGGTAGGGAAAAGGGTGCTAGGTGTAGCTTGGGTTGGGGCAAACGATAGTGTAGCTTGAGGGGGGGAAAGTGCCTCTTTACACCCCCCTGGCGATGCCCATGAACCAGTACAAAATTCTTGTCTGAAAATTTTCCACTTTGTCAAAACACAATTAGATGCCATTATACTTTAAAACTGTGAACTTTCAGTATGACTTTGGTGAATGCATTGAACGCACATTCTGGTCGCAAATTCTAGGAACATTGTGAGGCTCTGAATGCTCCCACTAGGTGATCGCAAAGTGTTTTGTGACAATGAGCGACGCTCAACAATGAGCGACGATCAAGTGAGACGGAGCAAATAGCAATGAACATTATTCAGAGCAGGAGCACAAAGCTTAGACACATAGTTTCAAACAACTTCACCAGCTCAACACTCAAAGGACAGAATTGCCCAAGTTTTCACAGAAATCGGTGAACAGGGAATGACGCTGGAGCAGGCATTCTGACAAGCCGACTGTCTATGTCAAGGCAGGTCTTCTTGTTTGGCACTTTGGCTCCAGTGGCATTACCGGCTCAATGATTTTTCATCACTTTGGCCACCGTGTTGCTCTGAAATTCTGTGAAGCTTACATGGCGATGTGCAAGATTTCTGTAAACTTTTCTCTATCAGGCTAAATATGCACATCTCATTTATTCAAGAAACAGCTTAAGAAACAGAACGACAGAGAAATTAAGAAGCACAAATCACTTCTTCTGTACGTCCTGTTCTTGTTTTTGCACTATTCCCTGAAGTACACGTAACCAACAACCAAGCTTCTGGAAACCCATTTACATTTGTAAACATCTGCCCATGCAGAAGTAGACATAACCATAATTTAGCCCAGCTGGTCATTGAATAACACAAACAATCACCTAGCCATACTAGTAATTATACTGAAATGACAGCTATATCACCTGTGCTGCAAGCAATACCCTCTTAAACTTGCTATGAGGGACACTGACAAGCAATGCTCTCTGTCAAGCTCAGATGCAGTATGAAAGCTAGTACGCTAAGCCAGCAATGCAGCTGAAAGACCACTGCCTCAAAATAAAGTCAGCAGCTAAATCCACGAGAAGAGTGTCATTAGTTCTTAGCACAGTTCCTTGGGAACTTTCAACATGACATGACAGAACACTCTGATTGTGAATTCTGGGAACAAACGATGTGTGTCTGGGAACACGAGATTAGCATCGGGTGCTGAAAACAGCCGTGATTTCTTTTTGCATGTTGGCTCATTGACCAAAAGGTTCAGGAGTAGGTGAATTAAATGTGTGGGAAAATGAAAATGTATAGTCAGGCAATAGTTTGTATGTTGCCCCGCCGCGGTAGTCTAGTGGCTGAGGTACTCGGCTGCTGACCCGCAGGTCACGGGATCAAATTCCGGCTGCGGCGGCTGCATTTCCGATGGAGGCAGAAATGTAGGCCCGTGTGCTCAGATTTGGGTGCATGTTAAAGAACCCCAGGTGGTCGAAATTTCCGGAGCCCTCCACTACGGCGTCTCTCATAATCATATGGTGGTTTGGGGAGGTTGAACCCCACAAATCAATCAATAGTTTGTATGTCATACGTGCACTGTGTCTTATAAGCTTGTATGATCACACGGGATTTTACAATATATGTGCGCATGTGAGATAATCAATTAGGTTGCTCATATGGCTTTGACGCAGCCAGGTGAATTCAAACCTTCTCTCCCATAATTCTAAATATTTAAGAGTTTGCTCGCGTGAACTACTTTACCATACTGCATATACTACGCATTTGGACAACCCCAGCGTTTTCCAGAAGAAAATGAGATTCCCAGTATCCATTTGTTACCGCTACTACCACTCGCCAATGAGGGCCAGCACAAAGTGCTGGCACATTGCTGTGTACGACATAATAGAAGTGCAAGGGCGAATTCCACGAATGCAACATTAATACTCTTTTTTGTCAAACTGTCACCTCATTGTGTCCCTGTCCCATGTGAACAGCTGTTGTTTTTCATTATGGCACCTTAAAAAAAAAAAAAGCGAGCTGACAACACTACAGTGCTGCACTGCAACCTAAATACAGAGGCAAACAAAACTGACGTAGGCTCTTTTACAGGAGGCTGTCCTTAATCTCTGGATAACACACAGCGAATGTCATAAATCAATGCTTGACTGCCGCCTACTCGGTGAGCAGAAGCTAGCGGAGGAGAAAGCAGTGAATCCGCCTGAAGATCTCTTTTTATCATTTTCTTTCTATATTTTTGCACGACATCCATATACTAGATATTTATTTTGAATACCTTCAGTGGCATGAGGGAGCGGTAGATTAAACAAAAAAAAACAGTGCAAGTAGTTACAAAGCTACGGTGCTACTGCTAAACACGACGTTTTAAGCTTTCGGAAGTTTCGGATTAGTTTGATAGCTTTTCATTTTGTTTTCATTTTCTATCAGTCATGCTGGACAGGCATTTTCCTCATCGGATAACACGTGAATGTCACCAGTGCCGACTACTATGAGGTGCTTAGGTGAAATTATTTTCTATTTTAATAGAACGAGGACGTATTCGCCAAGTCATCATTACAACCTGAGTGGGACCACGCGTACAGCGGCGGCGCCGTCACCTAGAAAACTACACCAGGCACGAAAAAAAAAATACATCGCCCTAAGTAAGACGCAATAAATCCGCTTAATCCGCACAAATGTGCCGCATATAGCACCATTACGCAAGACAGGGCGGGACCCAAACGCCTCATAACGCTGCTTGTGTTTTCACGATGCGTACTGTTTGTTTCTAGCGGAGGAACATAATTTAGCCACTCAGTTGTATACTTACTGCGAAAAAGAACGAAACCGATCGAACTATTATTACGAAGACAGTGCGCGGATCAAACGCAACCAACCAACCCAACCACGGAGAAGAAGCAACCTTTGAAACTCCCGCCCTTCAGGCATAGGGGGACGAGTTGCAAACGAATCTTAAACCACCGGCACCGCGATTTCGAGCTGGCCCCAGCGTTATCTGCGAAGGAACTGCTGCAGGTTAGACGAAGAGCTCACTGTAACCGGTTATAGTTCAAAACTATTCGAATAACTGGGCGGAATGAGGCAGTGCATTCCGACGCCTCTGCCAGAGCCGCGCGACCGTTGAAACGGTTTCGTGTTCCCGTTCGCGCGCGCAGCCACGGCAGTGGAAACGATAAGACAGCGACGCTTACCTAAGCGGATATCCGTGATGCACGTTCGCTGAAGTAATTCCGCTCACCGAAGCGACCAAGCACACCAAAGTAGTCGAAACACGAATCAAAACACACAGAAAACGCAGCCTCTCCACTGCCACCCATCTCCGCATCCGAAAATACAAACGCACGCACGAACACCAACGGCCGTCGCGCACATTGTTGCTAGGAGAGCGCACTCTCCTTCGGCTACGCGCGCAGCAGACGAGCGCTAGACAGCGGTGCTAACGTATTATGCGTGTCTATTTGTTGAGCAGTCACTGTACCGAGTCTCAGAACGAAACTAGAACAGTGAAATTTTGTTGACTAGATGAGGATATAAAACTGAGCGTGTTGAAAGAAAGGTAAAAAAATTAAAAGACATTTACTGATCGTGTACCACTAACGGCCCGGAGGTCGTGCGGGAGGATGCCGTTGTTTATGCGGCTTGAAGCTTGTAAAAAGATGCAACCGTGGGCTGCCTGACATGTATACAATTGTTAAAGAGGTTATCGAAGCCGCACCTTTAATCTGGAGGCAGGTTTTCGTCACACATGCCAGGCCTGCAGGCATGCAGAACCCTTGCCCGCTTTCTCGCGCCAAGTGCACCGCACACTGTGACAGCTCTTTAGGTCGTATGAAATTATGTATACTTTGATATTTGCGACTACATGAAATCGCGCGTGCAGTAAAAGGGGCTGCGTATCTTGCCGGCGATGCCACAATCTTTCTCGGGCTGCGCAAATATACAACTGAAAATCGCCATTGCCAAGGTGGCGAATATCACGCCTACGTGAATCGAAACTGTCCCAAGATATGCTGACGATGAATGCTTTTCTATTTGTTTGTGTGAGAATTCTAGTCATCTTTTTTTTTCTTTCACTTTTTCGTTCCTCTGAAACGTGAGACTTGTCAAATTCGTTCGGTGAAGTGATCGATCGTTAAATGAACTTGCAAGCACTTGGCAGTTACTCACGATTGTGTGCATGCTTCTCCGTGTTTTACGTTTCACCCAATTAATCTGTTATCGCTCTTGCCGTGACTCATGCCGCCCGCTCTCTACAATTTTTTTTTTTACTTTAAGACAATGTCTGAGTTGTTAAGTCGGTTCTGAGCACAGTTGTCAGACGAAAACTTCCCCATCTAGAGATGTACGTGCTGATTACAAAATACCGCAGCTACACATTTCTCAATGAAATGTTACTGCACCACTAACGGTAGATGACATATGTATGGGTCATTATTTATTTAATGATACTTTTTAAAACAATAAATTTCGCAGTCACTCTAAGCAATAGGCGGTAAAACATTTTTTTTTTTTTTAGACCTTCGTTCAAGCTTGCCTCTACCTCTGGTAAACTTGAAAAATTGTGGCACAAAGCCATCTGCGTAAGCGGCGAGATAAATTGAGCGCATGCCCTCGCCCTAAACAAGCGTATGTTGTCGTGGGTGCAAAACCCTGTAAAATGCCCCGGGCTGTTTTATTATTTTTTTTCACGCAATATATTCTATGAGCTGCGCAGAAAAAAAACCATTGACATTTGAGAGTAGCCAATATGACTTTATTACCATAAATAGAATGACACATATAAATGCATTCGTTTTTTTTTTTCAGATATACAGACTTCAGAAGAGTCTGAATTTACTTCGAATTACATGCCGCAAGTGTAACGCGAATTTTCCGCATGCCAGCAGCGTTACCCCGACGGTAACTCGGTTTCGTCGCTGTGGGGCGGAGAAGCGAAGTAACTAGTTTCGTAACTGTGACGCGAACAATAAGAATGTAGCAGAATGGCCGAGCATACTATGTCACAGGCGAACGACTGTACTTACACAATTGCGAGTCTTCAGGTAATGCGTGACCCAACCCCTTCCGCACTAAATTCTCGTCCGGCAGTCGTGGCCGAGTCACAGGCCATTCGCCGTGCCAGTAACCCAGGCACTTGCTCCTGTTTACTAAACTTGTGAATGTTGTATGTTTGTGAATGTTGTATGTAAACAGGCAATAAAGAAAGAAAAAAAAGGCAGTCGTGGCCGAGTGGTTAAGGCGATGGACTAGAAATCCATTGGGGTCTCCCCGCACAGGTTCGAATCCTGTCGACTGCGAATTTTTTTTTTCAAGCTGCTCTTTGTTTTTTTACAGATGAATTTTTAAACTTGCGGCATCGCTTATGCGGAATGCCGCGAGGCAGATAAAAATGAATAATTAAGTTGTACTAACTGCAACATACGTCAGACAGGCAGGCTCGTCGACGTTTCCACAGGTGTGCGTATATTTTCGTCAATGGCACCTCACCATCCCTGAAAGGTTTAGTTTTGCAACGTTTGACCAGTTACGTCACTCGCTGGCAGTGCAAGTACTCGTTGGTACTGGCACTGTTGAGCGTGTTCGTGCGTCTGTGCAGTGTATTTTCTCGTTTTACCGATGCTTCTGCGAGGGTACATTAAAAGAGCCCGCCTGACAGAAACTGCTCAGTCTCAAACACACAAACAAGTCATCATCATCATCACCACCACTATCACCACCATCATTATCATCATCATCAAACGTGGGCGTCGGCAGAGGGGTGAAAAAGGGGCACATTCCGCCCTCAAGCCACACCAGCACCCATGCTATCGCCCCCCCCCCCCCCGCCGACACTCATGTTATCCGCAATCCTATTCCTATCTGTTGTCATCTGCAAAGGAAGAACTCGGAGAGGAAATCATCGTAGACATTTCACGTCGCTGGGGATGGTAGTGGCTAGGAAGGGATTTTCGAGAGAAAAGAACTACTTGTTGCAAGAACGTAAAGGCAAAGCGGAAAAAAAAGTAAAAACACGCTACAGTGTTACTGTAAGTTTAGTGCTAAAAAACTCGATGATAAAAGCATCAGTTGGGATGGTGAGTGTCGCTTTGTATTGGAGAAGCCGGTATCGCGCCCACCCGTCAGCTTTCAAGCTGACGAGAAGGCCATTGTATGTGATGAGAAAGAAAGCAAGTGTAAGGCTTTTAGAAGAAAGGCCACCATGATGGTCGTAACTAGAGCCTGAATCTAGCAATAATGAAAAGTGCTTGCTTAGAGCTATGCCCTAATTCGACCTATCATGATAAATACACACCTCAGGAAAAATGATAATCTAAGAGGGCTATCTCAACCTACTGTGAATTACATCATGGCAACACAGTGTTCAATGGTTGCCGAATTAGTTTTGGGTACGGAGGGGTACTTCCAACGGGCAGTCGTGGTCGAGTGGTTAAGGCGATGGACTCGAAATCCATTGGGGTTTCCCCGCACAGGTTCGAATCCTGTCGGCTGCGTAACGTTTCTTTTTAATTTTTCCTTCTTTGCGAAACATCCAGGATCACCAATTGTTGAAATTGCAACTTAATCTGCTGTGAATTACATCATGGCAAAACAGTGTTCAATGGTTACCAAATTAGTTTTGGTTAGGCAGCATTCCTTCCAACGGGCAGGCGTGGCCGAGTGGTTAAGGCGATGGACTCGAAATCCATTGGGGTTTCCCCGCACAGGTTCGAATCCTGTCGGCTGCGTAACGTTTCTTTTTAATTTTTCCTTCTTTGCGAAACATCCAGGATCACCAATTGTTGAAATTGCAACTTAATCTGCTGTGAATTACATCATGGCAAAACACTGTTCAATGGTTACCAAATTAGTTTTGGTTAGGCAGGATTCCTTCCAACGGGCAGTCGTGGCCGAGTGGTTAAGGCGATGGACTCGAAATCCATTGGGGTTTCCCCGCACAGGTTCGAATCCTGTCGGCTGCGTAACGTTTCTTTTTAATTTTTCCTTCTTTGCGAAACATCCAGGATCACCAATTGTTGAAATTGCAACTTAATCTGCTGTGAATTACATCATGGCAAAACAGTGTTCAATGGTTACCAAATTAGTTTTGGTTAGGCAGGATTCCTTCCAACGGGCAGGCGTGGCCGAGTGGTTAAGGCGATGGACTCGAAATCCATTGGGGTTTCCCCGCACAGGTTCGAATCCTGTCGGCTGCGTAACGCTTTCTTTTTAATTTTTCCTTCTTTGCCGAAACATTCAGAATCACCAATTGTTGAAATTGCAACTTAATCTGCTGTGAATTACATCATGGCAAAACAGTGTTCAATGGTTACCAAATTAGTTTTGGTTAGGCAGGATTCCTTCCAACGGGCAGTCGTGGCCGAGTGGTTAAGGCGATGGACTCGAAATCCATTGGGGTTTCCCCGCACAGGTTCGAATCCTGTCGGCTGCGTAACCTTTCTTTTTAATTTTTCCTTCTTTGCGAAACATCCAGGATCACCAATTGTTGAAATTGCAACTTAATCTGCTGTGAATTACATCATGGCAAAACAGTGTTCAATGGTTACCAAATTAGTTTTGGTTAGGCAGGATTCCTTCCAACGGGCAGTCGTGGCCGAGTGGTTAAGGCGATGGACTCGAAATCCATTGGGGTTTCCCCGCACAGGTTCGAATCCTGTCGGCTGTCGGCTGCGGAGCCTTTCTTTTTAATTTTTCCTTCTTTGCGAAACATCCAGAATCACCAATTGTTGAAATTGCAACTTAATCTGCTGTGAATTACATCATGGCAAAACAGTGTTCAATGGTTACCAAATTAGTTTTGGTTAGGCAGGATTCCTTCCAACGGGCAGTCGTGGCCGAGTGGTTAAGGCGATGGACTCGAAATCCATTGGGGTTTCCCCGCACAGGTTCGAATCCTGTCGGCTGCTGCGTAACCTTTCTTTTAATTTTTCCTTCTTTGCGAAACATCCAGAATCACCAATTGTTGAAATTGCAACTTAATCTGCTGTGAATTACATCATGGCAAAACAGTGTTCAATGGTTACAAAATTAGTTTTGGTTAGGCAGGATTCCTTCCAACGGCAGTCGTGGCCGAGTGGTTAAGGCGATGGACTCGAAATCCATTGGGGTTTCCCCGCACAGGTTCGAATCCTGTCGGCTGCGTAAGCCTTTCTTTTAATTTTTCCTTCTTTGCGAAACATCCAGAATCACCAATTGTTGAAATTGCAACTTAATCTGCTGTGAATTACATCATGGCAAAACAGTGTTCAATGGTTACCAAATTAGTTTTGGTTAGGCAAGATTCCTTCCAACGGGCAGTCGTGGCCGAGTGGTTAA